AATCCTTACAATCCAAAATCCTTCGTAAAATCCTCAATGCTCCTTACTTTGTCACTAATAAAATTATCCATAAAGATCTTAATGTTCCTTATGTTTCAGATTTGGCCTAATCCAGATACCTATCCTTCCATAATAAACTTCAGAATCATCCCAACCCTCTCGTTTCTAACCTTGCTTCCTCTTCAATTTCTGATAACCCTCCGAGGCGTCTGAAAAGAAGATGGCCCCGTGATCTCCTAATACAGTTATATCATTAGAGTGCTACCATTGGGTAGTTACTCAGCAAGTGTATTCATGTCATTATATCAATTATGTCCAAATTTACTTGATGTATTTATGTAATACAGTTGTAAATGTCATAAAGAAATAAAAAAAAAAAAAAAAAAGTATATATTCAGATACTTTTACCTACTTTGGTATATTTCTTTCCAATTTTCTGCATACAGATTTGCAGTATCTTTGATTATTAAATCTACCTATTTAGACTTGGTTCCTCCACGTGGTCACTTCTCAACAATTGACATTTTTGTATAGACGCTTCCTGATGGATAGCTCCGTACATTATATTACGCCCATATTAACTTCCTTGCCTTCGTAACATGAGATATTGATTTATCAGTTTCTGTAAGCAATTTGTTGTTGTGGAGGTATTTTCTCTCAAATCATTCAATTTATCTTTTTTAGAGTAACTTAAAATTGAAATTTTTCGGAATATAATCTTAGTGAATGTTTATACATGTATAAATACATATACCGATATATTGAAGGAGGGAATATTGAAAATTTATCACCTTGCACCTCCATCCATAGAAAAGTTAAATATATTTATTGAATAATACTACAGTCTTTAGCCATGAAAGTAACTACGTTTTTTTTTTTCGAAATTGTAACTTATAATCTTAACCTATTTGACTTGCATATCCACTTTGAAATGTTACTTATAAACGTTAATTCTTTTAAAAAAATTAACATAATGTTTTTAAGCATATAAAATGATTAATACGTTTTAAAAATGTTTTCGACTTGATTAGCTCTGAATGAGATGAGGAATGTTGAACCGATCAAAATAAAATGCCACGAAGTAATATTATGAAAGTAAGCATAATTTAAAAAATATTTTGAACTTATAAAGTGTTTGTTTTCTTCCATTTTTTCAAAAATGCAGAAAGAAAAATTGCTCCCTTTGTTAGAAGACTGAGCAGCAACAGGGCACCATTGATGGACAAATTCGTTGCTACGAAGCCTTATAAATTAACCTACATCTCTTGGGAAATCAACAGGAGAATAAGCAACTTAAGAGGCAATATCCCAACCCCCACCCCCTTCGGCTAGTTAATAGTAAAAATCTAATAAACCCTTCAATTCTAATATGGAAGTCGGAAAACGTTAACAACTCTTGGCAGAGTGTCTATATAATACAATAACGTAAAAAAAAACATCTTAAATTTAATGAACAGTTGGGTGGATAGGGGTCTATGTTCTTTGATATGAAAAATATTACAAGCTAAACATGATGAAAAAATCCAGAACCTTTTATTTATCAGATTATTTTTTTTTTTAAATATTTTAACTATTGATATTATAAGTTATAACAAATTTAATTTCAATATAAAATATTTTTTACACAGCCTATATTTTTTTTAGAATTAAATTAATTTCATTTAGTTTGTTTTTTCCACCGAACTCAAGAATTTACAGATTCTGGAAATGTTAGATATGTTGTAAGCTTTTACAGTATATTATTTTCCATGTAATTTGAAATTTTATTTTATGGTATTATTCAAGTTTAATATTTTTTTTTTCTTGGAATCAAATACAAAATCACCGTCCATTATCGCTGATTGTCATTGTAATCAATTTACTGTTTGTACGAAATTATATATTTGTACGAAATTTAATATAAAGATATAGTCGATTGAATTTTAATTTAATGTAAACTGATAAACGAAAATCATTCTAGGTTAACACATTTTATGATTAAATTATATAAATATCAATGATTACTGTAATAAAACGCTGGATGTCATATTATTAAATGTTGCAAATCTAAACCTTAAACTTAGAGGCAGAAATGGAAACCCCAATTCTTCACCCAAATTCTCCTACTCATTATTATACAATCATATATATTTCCAACATTAAAGACATTTTAAACATTGAAAAAAGAAGGCATTCTACAACTATTTTAGGCAAAATTATAATCCCTGTTTCAAGTACATAAGGATATTACTATTTTTTCTTGAAATAAACCTAATATGTTGATTACAAAGTTATGCTTTTTCTCAATATTTGTTTTTTTTTTAAATGCATGTTTATTGTATCTTTGTGTTAATTTTAAGAAGTTTACATTTTCATCCGTTTCGGTGCCTGGTTATAAGAAGTTCGACTATTTTTCTACAATCATGTTGTCTAAGTTATCTGATGCCATAGGTGGAGAACCTGCGGCCTCTCTGCCGCATTTAGACTCAGTGAGCCCTGCACTGCAGGCCTCAAGTAGCCTCCAAACGTTTTTCCTCGGCATTTATTAATTAGTCGCGAGAATTAGTTAATATTTAATTAATTATGTTACGAAAATTTGAAAATAAATAGAATTAAATTTAATATTCCCATATGTTTGTGTATTTAAAGTGATAAAGAAAATTGCAACAGTAAAATACAAAAAAAAAAAGTAGAGAGGAATTCGCCGTGACCAGGTTAAGAATAGGACACACGAACCTAACCCATGTACATCTCATCACTAAGCAGCCACCACCAAATTGTCAGCACTGCAATAGCCTTCTCACAGTCAATCATATTTTCCAAGAATGCACTTATTATACTTCAAGCCTAAATCGATTATCTCTAAAACCGGAGATATCAGCAGTATTAATCAACAACGAATCAAACATAAAACAGTGATAAAATTTCTTAAAATCCATAGGCTATTAAATAAAATATAAAAATAAATACAATTTTATTTTATTGTTCTTTCTTTTTTTTTCTTAATATATTTTAAATTTTTATATGTTTTTAAATATCTGTTTCATTTATTACTCTATCTATTATTAATTATTAATTCACCCTTAAAAGAGTTTACACATATAACCGATTCACAGACGTTGATGGGGGGTTTACGCCTTAAAGTCTAAATAAACAAAAAAAAAAAAATAAAATAAAATTGCGCCATCCATTAGCACCGTCTAATCATATTGCGGTCTAAAAAGGTCCTATGTCCTATGTTTTTAAAAATCACTTAGAGTGTTTTTATTACAAATACTTCATAGGCAATCGTTCCCAAGACTTCTTTCATCCGATATACAAATACCTAGCAAAGGTTATAAGCCTCTGTATAAGATGTTGGTTATTCCGAGAAAAGATTCGCTGAGGGTAATAAACACCCCAGAGGGCTAAAGATAGCTATTACTATAGATGTTTAAGAATGCAGCAGAAATAGTTTTGTCTGAGAGAGTATTGAGCCAGTTGTTTTATCGCCGGAGATCTTTTGAAGTGAGGAAAATCCCTCCCCAGCCGCCCACAGCCAGTTGCTCCATGTCTGATGGCCCTAAGGACCCTGCTTTTATCTTGCTAAGGATATTCCCCCAAAGGGCCTTATCTCTACACCGGGCTAATGTTATTTTGATTTCAACAACAACACAGTACTCTCTTTATACATTTCTTTCCGGGGTGAAGTAGAATGGATTCTCAAAAAGCGAATAGATTTAATAATGAAATAGTTATTAAGTAAGTTAATAACGTGTTTTCAGATTAGATGTTTACTTAGCAGTTACGTGTTACATCAAGCAAACAGCTTAAGTCAGAAGTTTGATGGTAGGTAAGGATCAACTTTTGCATTAAGAACTTTAAGATAGAATAATGGATTCTGTTATGAAATTTAACTTCGTACTGTCTCTATCAATAAAAAAAAATTATAGTTTTTCTATATATCCAAGGCATGAAATCGCACTCAATATCCAAGTGATATAATTTATAAGTTTTAAATATACAGTGTTTTTATTGCAATATACATATATATATATATATATATATATATATATATATATATATATATATATGTATGTGATTGTCCTGTAAGTAGAGGGAAATTTATATAGGAGCTATTACTGTCCTTAAGGGCTACAAAAAAGTTCATATAAATATTAGACCAATTTTCATAGGCAAATCTAACTGTGTTTTTCAAATTCCATTTAAGTAATTAATAATTGCTTCATTATAAACTAGTTGAAATTTACTTTATCTTATTTTACTTTTTTTTTGGGTCCTCTCCTTCCTCGCCTTTAAGCCTATACGGGGTTTTGCCGGGCCAGGGGGTGTGGGCGGTGATTTAAAAGACTCCCACGGCACCGGGACGCGAACTCGTTACTATTTCTATAACACATTTGTCATATATCATTTATCATATCATATTTGTCAAATATAGGTTGCCAGGCGACGGTGGTGCTGTGCACAACGAGTTTAGCCCATTCGGCTATACCCCGCCCACTTGATATGTTAAGGTTTTACTAGCTGAACAACGTTATTGAAATTAGGGTTGATACAAGAATTTTTGTATCTAGAAACAATTGCACTACTACTTATTTGTATCTGATAAAAATGGATCATTTTGTCATTGGATCCAAGAATAAAAAAAACGTGCAGTAAAACTTAAAATGTGTAAATTTGTCTATTTTACACCTAAAAACGTCACCGGGACGCGAACTCGTGACTATTTTAAATGCATTGTATCATATATCAGGTTGCCGGGCAACGGCGGTGCTGTGCATACACGTTAGCCCGTTCGGCCACCCCGTCCAATTTACATTGAATTAAAATAGAGTTTATAATTGTTACAATCATTTAAAGATATCTTTTGAGCGACTAAAGTAAGCTAAGTTCGGTTTTTAGAAAAATTCTGATTAAAGATTCTGAATGAAATCCTGATTGAGCATCGATTCCAGAGGGGATTACGATGTTTTCAAACAACTAACGACCGATTTGAAGCAAACAATCGCAAGAAGCATTTAATGCACTTATCTTTTGATGACGACAAGACAAGCGGACTAACATTGCCACGGCGACAAACCACTATTGTTGCTAGGATCCCGGGGGAGGAGGCATTGTGCCCGAGTTACTTTGCTAAGGGCCCCCATTGTTGCTCAGTTGTGAGGGAGCAGCCTCCTGTAATAACAACCGCTACAAAGGGGCCTGCACATCGCCTTGTTGCAGCGCGTGCATTCTCGCTCTGCCGCCCAGCTTCTTCAAAGATTAATCTATGCAGTTCCTTCCGCTATGAAGGCTCATTATTCCCAGCGATGAGTTCGTTTGTCTCTACGAAACGTTCCCTTATTTATTTGACTATAGGCGATAGTTATTCAATCTTAAACCACCCGGAAACAATAACGGCAAAAACACTGCAGTTATCAGGAAGCTAAAATAAAACAAAGATTAAAAAATAATACAATTGTCTGGGGAATTGAGGGTCTACAATAACTAGAAAATAAGAAATTGAGGAGGAAATTAAGGTTAGACAGTAGGCGGGAAAATCCTGTTATTTTTCTGTTTCAAAAATAAATAGCCTTTTTTCCGGAATTTTAAAAACTAGAACTTACAAAACTATTATAATATCTACGGTTCTTTATGCCTGAAACGTGGCCGCTTACATTAGTAGAATATTCGGACCGAAGAAGATCACCATAGATTATTCAAAATTACTGAAAACTTCCAGAATAGATTTAATCACTAAAATAACGAACCCGCCTATTCTGCCAAAGTTGAGACATTTTTAAGGATGCCTAATATGTTTATTCAGTTTTTAAAAATTACTTGATAGCGAAACTCCAATAATTCATATTAATTAGGTGATTTACACTTTTGATAGATGACATTGCTGCCTTGAAAATAATTTCATATTGAAACTACTGAAACCGTTTCACAGATAACAATTTGAAATGCGTAAAAAATGATACCTCATTGAAAAGATTGTAAGACGAAGGAAGCTCTAATAATAATAACAATTTTTTCACCGAATGTGGCCTCCAAACGTTTTTGCGCGATATTTATTAATCTAGCACTATAACTAATTAATATTCAATTATTCAAGTAACGAGCATTTGGAAATTATTACAATCAAGTTGAATATACGTATATGGTATGTATGTTTTGTGATAAATTAAACTAGGAACAGTAAAATTTAAAAAGTTGTTGCGGCTTCCTAATCTTCTGCGCTATCTATCAATATACCATGCAGCTGTTCTACCTTAAGTTTCATTAATTATAGCGAAAGTGTTAATTAATTATATCTAATTTATCTTGCTATTCTGGAACCGCTGAACATAATTTAGGTATGGAGAAACAAATTCAAATCATTAACTATAGATTTTTTTTGCTTAGAGGGTATTGGATAATATTTTCCAATAAAGTTTAGCTTGAGTTAGAAAGAAAAAAAAAATGGCAAATCGATGTAACGGCCTCAGAGAATGTTCTTGTAAATTCGGCAATGGACATAACTCAGTCTATTTTCGCCAGCACAGGCCCTTAATGACAAGGAGATCTTTTCCCAATAAAGCGAGGCAGTAAAGTCAAATCACCTCCCAGCAGCTCCAAATTTTATGGTGGAATGGTGTGGCCAACACTACGCACGACCATAAAGCCCCTCCCCCCCACCGGGTCTAGACGTAATTAACCACGACAGCGATAAACAGAGCTCGTACCATTAGCAAATTAGGATGCTGCGGGGATCTGTCATCCTGGTTTTAATTTCCATTTCCTGCGCCTCCCCAACACCCACCCCTCCACCGCCCAACGGTCCTGCAATCGAGTCCCAGCGATTATTTTATTAGCTCTAACTCTTGTATATTTGATTAAAGCGAGGGGGGTCCACTAACTGGGTTACTGATCCCCGATCACCGGTCGAGAAAATTTGTTTGCCGGTCCCTCCAGCAGGGCTAAGGTTTTTGTTAAATGGTTCGTGATGAATTGAGACATTTCCTCCCTCCGAACATCCACAACTGTAGTTACATTAAAATTAAATGAGTGATAAGAGTGGAAAACTACAGATCTTCACTAAACATAAGAAACAAGCGAATTCACACAATGGTGCAGTAGTAGAGTACAGTATGAAAGTATAGTTACATAAAAAAAGGAAAGATTACGGACGTAGGATCACCCATCTAAATGAAATGGTGTTCGTAATACGCGGTCCAAAATATTAGAACCATGTCCAAGGGTTCTTGCTAATGTGTCTTAAGACTCGAGAATAAAATATTTCATAAACTTTTAACAGTTTCTTGCATAATTGATTTATACCTTTGCTCGTCTTGATGACCAGTTTACAGTAGACGAATCGATTTTTATTTTTTGTGTGTGAAATAGGAATAATGTATTAATTAATGTACTGAACGAACTCAAATTTATAGCAACCAAAATAAATTTTTGTAATGAAAAAACACGAACTTGATTCATTACAAATCATACCATACAGCAAAGGCGAATCTATCAATCAAGTACATAAAAACCAAGAAAAACATATATACATCTATTTTTGTATTCCATATTTACATCCTTGGACGACTTGAGCGTTCCGACCAGTCAAAAAGCCGCAGTCAACAGATGTGTCCTCGCGGTCTGGAAATAGCACTCCCTAATTCCAATGTCTGGCGTTTTAAACATGTGTATAAGAAAAGATAAAAGATGGGTGATAAATAAAAATGCATATAAGGTCACGTGTGTGTATGTACGTCAATGGATGTTCACTTCTGTCTATACTTAGTTTTATTTTGTCTTTCGTTCATTTTTAGTATGAACCCTACTTTTGTACATAAAATAGAATGGTGTTTAACTGTTGCATGAATATTTTTTGGAAGCCAAATAGTTAAATAATATATATAAAAAATGCATTAATCCTTGTTATCAAACACAAATATGTATATACAAATATGTGTATATATATATATATATATATATATATATATATATATATATATATATATATATATATATATATACACATATATATACACAATTTGATTCTAATATTATTCACTTAATTATGTTTCTATAGGGACAAGAATAATATTTCCATTTATCATTATTTGTAATTATTCACTTACCACAAAGTTCAAAATAAATTACAAAACGCTGCGAAATTATTACATCATGGTTTATTATTTCCAAACAATTATATGAAAAATCATATTGATATTTATATAATTTAATCATAAAATGTGTTAACCTAGAAAGATTTTCGTTTATCAGTTAGTAGCATTACTTTCCTCATCATATTGCGCAAGGAAAATATCTTAGAGGTGATTCCTAATATTGGCCTAAATAATATTTTTTATTCACTTTTTTAAAACTTTCCAAAATTCAAAAAACAAAACAGGATACGTGTTTAGCAGTATAACATATGAAAAATATTTCGGACAACGTATATTTACACCAAATCGCCCGATTTCTATGATTTGTTTTTAGAACATTTTGAAAGACCATAGCAACAATCATAAAAAATGTATATTTTTTGAGGTATTTGGAAATCTTATCTTACCACTTCTCGTAACGTTGTTTACAGCTACTTTTCGGTGAAGTATGTTACACTGTAACATTTAAAGGGCTTCAAAGGAAACCAGCCAAATTTCATCGAAATCGGTACGCGTTTTCTCGAAATTAGTTTAGGGTCTACAGTCCATACGGAAATGGTTTTTCGGCCTCCATCTTGAAAGTAATTTTTCAGTGATGTTTGCGCTATACAATTTTTATCAAGGAGAAGACTTTAGCTGAATTCCATTGAAATTGGTGCATTTGTATAGGCGCCACAGCCTATTCCGACACAGGTTTTTCGGTCGCCATCTTGAAAGGAAACGGCGGATAGTGATTTCAAAGGTAGGTTGATATGGATTGTCCTCGGGTGACCACTGACTGATTGCAAATTGAAAAACAATAGGTCCAGTAATCTCGGGATAAAAAAAAACAACAAACTGACAACATTTCTTATTCTATGTATATTTATCGAACGGTGTAGATAGGTGTGTAATAAGGGATTGGTGGTGTCGGCATCGAATCTTCGGGTTCACTAAGCCTTTTATTAATGTATATTTATACGTATTCTGCAAAACCTCAAATTTTGAGGGGGTCAAGTTATTGAATTTTTGGTCGATTACAATGGTTCATTATTGAAAATAATTAACCAAAAATTAATTCTACAAAGTATATAATTCTAATCCTTTTTTTAAAATATGAATATTATTTTTTTAATTGTATTGCCTTTTTCTTCAGTTTCCTTATTGGTTTTTTATTAAATCTATTTTTGAAACGGTTTTCGTACCAGTTTGAAGATACTTTTCTCAACAGTGGAATAATTGAAAGGGAAGGAATCGGTAACATTCGTGATTTGTCCTACATTATCAAATTCTGTTATGTATATTTTGAATATTAGCAAGGTACGGATCCATCATTAATTTTTAAGTTATGTATTACAACTGACTTAAATATATTAGAATAACAAGAATATACGAAATATACATGGTTTCATGGCATTAGAAGCTTACATGGATTAAAACATAAAGCATTAGATGTAATAGAGACATGGTTAAACTATACTTACGTATACATACGCACATCAATATATTCATGCTTTTTATAATAATTTAAGTAATAAGGATTTTTAAGAAATTCTGTTCTTTCTTTATGCAAAAAAAAAGAAAATTAATTTTTGCATTTCTCCGTTGCAGTATCAATACAATTCGTCTATATTATATACCTATTTTTTTTTTTTTTTTAATATAAAATTAAAAATAGTGTGTAGAAGATTATCAAGAAAGACAATCAAGCTAAAAAAAAAAAGTACTGTTTCAGTAATCAGTTTACCACGAAAAGTTGATACTTTAATTGTGGATTTCCATTTTCCTACTATTAATCTAATAATATTATAAGTCCAAAATTTCACGTTGCGTCGCCAACTCTATTATTTCTGACGCCATGTTAGTTCAGTACATTTATGTCACCATGGCTGATTACCTACGCCTCACACTTCCTTCCTTCAAGTTTGTTTGTCTTTGTTCGCAGCCTTCACTTTGGATTCCCATGACTTTAAGCCCATTATCAATCGAGGTTCTGTCCAAGAAAGAAGAAATTAAAAATAACTAAAATCGTACGTTCACGATGATGGTATTCGGAGTGATGATGTTTTGTCCATATTAACATACAAATAATAATTACTGATAAACACAATAATAATAATAATAGTTAGCCATAATATAAATATGGTTCAATGATCTCGATTCCTTGAATCTATCCATCTTAGTAAAGAATCGGGAAATTAGAATGATTAAGATAAAAACATCTTTCATTTTGTCACAATCAAAATTAGTTTTAAAAATTCTGAATTATTTTAAAACTTTTTTTTTTATTTTTTTTATTTGTATTCGCCTCTACCCTAGAGGGTCATTGGTGGTTTTTCTTAATTTTTATATTTTACTATAAAATATGTCTATATGATGTCTCTTTTATCTGTAGTATCTTTAGTATTTTTGTGGTCCATATTTTGATGCTTCTATCTGTTATTAAATTCTTGATATCTATTAGCATCTTTGTTAGTCCGTTTTTGTCATCCGTGAATTGTTCTATTAACTCGATTGTATTTGGTGATATTTTTTCACTTTGTATTGTATCATATAGTAACAATATTTTATTGAATTCAAGGGGATAATCGTTATCAATTAGCAAATCTCGAATGGGTTCTAGAATGTCTGTTGTAGTTGGTTTTATTTTTTTAGGTTCGTTTGTTTTTACTTCTATATTTTAAAACTTATCTGTATGTGTTAATCATTTATTTACATTAATACGTAATTAATTAGTTCATACGATCAGATCGACATCGGAAAATAAACTGAATTATTATTGGATGATTTCTCAATTTATATTTTGGAGAAAACATAAATGGCTCCAATATTAACTTATTTTTATTTAATTTAACTATTTATTTATAGAATTATTTCATAATTTGAACATAATAATTTACATGGATTCAACAACTTAATTAATTCTTAAAATTCTTTAAAATAATTACGTTATTGAATCCATTTAAATTATTATTGCTATTCACTTTTTATAATTGTTTGATAATTTATATATACTCTTAGTTTAAATTCAATAAAGGTTTTTTTAATGAGTGGCCATTGTCCAAAAACCAGATAAAAGGAGGAAAAATAAATATAATAAATATAAATTATGATATCTGATCGAATAGAAGCCAAGAGATTTGAGAAATTAAATATAAAAATTGAATGATTTCATTAACAGTTTCATCTTCGATGATTATAAGAATGAAAAACAAGATTTTTTTTATTCTGAGATAGTTTGTTATATCGGGTATTTAAGTTTAAACCTATATTACAGGAATAAGTTTAAACTTTTTATGAATAATATTTACTTTAGACAAATATTCCACAAATAATATGGGATGTGTTAAAACTTATTTTATACATTGATGGATTCCCCATTATAAATATATTAAATTCTCACAGGTATAGTAATTTATTTAGTGATGATTTCTGCTTTTCAATTTTAATTAAAAATAAATTTTAAATAAAATTCAACTTGGATTCTATCCCCTTAAATTATGGAAGTTTCTATAAGAAATCATTTCAAATTGGAAATATTTCTGTGGCACCTGTGCATAGTGTATGCAAAAATCATATTTATTGAAAAACACAATTGAAAGTTTAGAATTTTCACAGATTCAAAATCAATTTTCGAGTTTCGCCCCATGATTCAAAAAAGATGCTCATATCTTTAATAGCTTAGATTAATCTGATGATACCCATAAAAACTCACAAAATTGTACTAAACACACTTTTAACAGGTGCCACACATATTAGCTTAAATAAATTCGATGCTATAAATAACGATATTTTAATTTGACTATCAAAATCCCAAATTTTTACACACAAAAAAATTAAAATTGTTCAAGTGGAAAGCCACCTGATTGGTAACAGTATTTAAAAGCTAGCGAATGTTATTTTTTGTCTCTTAAATAATTTTTTTTTTATATTTGGTTTTTAAAAAAAGTATTAATAAGCTTAATAGGTTTCAGTCACCTTTAGTTTTAACTATTGATTTTCTTTCTTGTTTTTTTTTTTTTTTGATTATTTAATTTCTCATTTTTCTCCATTTCTTTTTGATAATTTATTTTTATAATGATTATTAATACATGTATACCTTAATAGTAATTCATTCCATATTAATTGTCGCCTATCCTTTTTTTTTCTATTATTTATGTTTTTTTTTTAAATTATATTATTTTTGTTAACAGCTATTAAAGGTGCCATTTAAACCTATAGGTGCCCAAGAAGCTATAAACAAGAAACAAAAACACCAGCATAGGGAAAAAAAAACATTTAAATATTTGTGTTTTCCATAGTTTGTGAAATGTCTAAACGCACCTTAAGACTTAATTAAATGCTTCTTTTATCATCATTCAAAGATTGAAGACATCCGAGAGGCTTTAAATATAGATATTTTTCATATATAGTTAATCATTTAAAAGTTTTAAAATATCAAAACCTGATATATCAGGCTATAACATATTGCTATGTTTTTCGATATTTATATTTCTCACAAGACGAGATGCCGTTGAAGCTCGCTTCTTTGTTTAAAAAATATGCGAAAACTAAACAAAAAAACAACAACTAAAATATGCGAAATTCAAAATTTACATCCAAAGGAAAGTTATTTTCCATAGAATGCTATCCCCATTGCTAAGATAGGAAAACACATAGCTATTTACATACTTACCACGGTCATATGCAAAACCTTCCTAGCTAAGAGGCTATTTTAAGGATGTTAGTAATATCAATTCCCTGAACTTGAAGGAAAACAGACCTGACTCGCAGGAAAGGAATTCGAAAAACAAGTCCTCACAACCTCTTGTCTACCGGACCTTCATAAATATTCATGATTTGTCCACTTGTTTATACTGTCCATCCTTCTCTTACCTTTCTGTCTATTGGATCATCTTTCCACCGAATTTTCCAATGTTATGGGGAGTTTTCATAGCTCTTTCCATTGACTAGCTATTGCGTTTTGTTTTAGTATGCTGCCTGGGACCTCCGCCTCATGTCTCCGCATTAGGAGACCTTTGTATTCATGGAGTATGGCAATGAGCGGATCCTACCGCCGCTGGGTCTTGGAGATATACCCGAAGAATGCACGTCGTTCCTTCTCTCCATCTATACAGAAAGCTCGTTTAAAAATATTTGTCCCTGTAATATTAAACAACTATTTCAATAATCGACGTGATCATTGATTTATATTTATCCTTAGAGAACCCAGACGTTCATTACCGATATCATCAACAAACGACACTATAACTCGATAATATACATTAATTTGAAGAAATATGTTGGAATTCAAGCAGAAATTAATTATTTGGTGTCTAACAAAACTAGAAAAACAAAATTCAAGAATGAAATAAGGAAATTCTATCGTTTTCAATTATTGCCATGAATTTAAACAATATTCTTCAGCTTGTGTATTTTTGCCAGAAACTAAAAAATTTAAATTTACAAAACTATAATTATTCCTAATGGCTTAGAGACGTGCGAAACGAAGTATCTAAATTTAAAAGTACTGCGTAATCCATAATAAAATATTACATGGTTTATATTAATAAAATTGAAATGATTGCACCATGGTGGTTGAAATGGTAACATCGACTCAGGTACAAACGATTCCCTTAATTAGTACTGATTCTAGGGGCAAACACCCGAGCGTTTTATACCTAAACGTTGGTGGGAGGATAACGGCGAGTCTGATGATTCATATTTGTATTGATAAGGAGTTTGATGGACGGAGGTCATCGCTTATTGTCGGCGGGAGTTAGCGTCCAGGTGCCGAGGAAGTCTTTTAAATCCCCGCCCACACTCCCTCGCCCGGGAAATCCCCGTATAGCCTTTAAAGCGATGAAGGGAAGGACCCCTCCCCCCCCCCAAAAAAAAATAATAATAAAAAAGCCGCGGGTAGGACAATAGTTTTATAAATTCTAAATGTTATGCTTCAGAACATGAGACCGAAAACAGAAAAAGAACAAGCATTTCTCGCTTTCAACCTTACCTAAATCTTCTTTTCATTTTCGATTTTTCTAGTTATTTTAGAACTATACAAACTTCGCAACTCCTCTCTATGTTTTAAACTTATATCCTTCCCATCTATGCTATAGGAAATATCATTTTTGCAGGTTGCCATATATATATATATATATTTTTTGTATTTATTTGAAGTCTAATGTATATATTTATATATAATTTATATATATATATATATATATATATATATATATATATATATATATATATATATATATATATATATACACACACATAATTTTGTTATATATCATATTTAGTTTTTGTCTTGTTTCGCAGAAGTTAACTTAGCTGAATATTTTGTTGTAATCAGACTCTCCCCAACCCTTCACACTGTATCTTTTGCAAAGCTTTCCTTCCTGGGGGAGTTAATGATACCATCAGGAGATGTCAGCACATGGCACCAACCATTCGACACGTCAACAAGAGATAACTAGGCTTAGGGGAGCGGCTCTATCGCCTCTGACATTACTGACGTATTCCAACCATCTGCCGGGTTTCTGCCGCGGTGTCGCATTCTCTTTACGGGCCAGTTCTTATTTAAGCTGGTTATTTCTGAAACTAAAATTCTTAAGTTTTACGAATTCTTACCACGATATACCATTCACATTTGTGGTACCGCGAATATTCGTGAATAAATAGAATAAGGATTACAAGAATAAGTTGGTCGGTGCGAAAAATTGTATATTGGTCAATGGACAAATGACAACATCATATAGAAATAATTAAACCATAACATTTATAAAAACTACAATTAACCTTATGATTGCTGAAAATGGTCCAATTCTGATCTTTATTTTTTATTTTTTGTTTTATTATGAATTTAGAAACCTTTCAAATTGTCATTGGTTTAATCAACCATAACGTGTCCACTTTTAGGAGTATGCGTAATAAAGTGTGCTTTTCTCCATTAATTTCTGACTTGTCTGGATTATGAACTTACTTTAAGAACGAGATGGTTTTCCAAACGAAGGCTAAATCACTGTATTGGATGCAGAATTAACGAAGATATGACCTCTGAAAAAAAAATGCAATTGAGATATATAAAGGTTATTTAAACTATATAAGTTTCACAACCCTCATGATTATAAAAACTGACTTGAGTTGTCCGAATACCGTATCATTGCGTAGACCAAGTGCATACACTTTTCGAGATTTAAGCATTTAATACACAAGGTGAAGAGTTCGTTTTATCGCGTTTTGTAGTCATAGAAATTAACGAAGTACCCATAAAATCGACTCATTCTTACTATTTTAAATAAAATTTAAATTTGTAATATGCGATTCTCTAGTACGAGTATCCGAACGCCCCGTGAAAGCTTTTTTTTATTATATGGCAAAATTATTGAAAAAAAATTATGAAATTTATTAAATCTCTCAAACGCAAGGTTATTTTTACTGTATGAGTTGTTTCTCATAGGAAGCTTTTATTCACGTCTGGTGCCACTTATAGAACAACCCTTTTTTATCTCATCATAAGCAGTAGCCCACAGGACATAGTGGAGGTCTCAATAGGCTCAGCGGACAGAGTCTGAAGACCTCAGATCTAGCGTTATTATATCTATTATTATGATACATGTAAATAGATATATCTTAATAACCATTAATTCAGGGATTTAGCAATAAACGTTCTCTGGATCGCTTTTAAACAAAGGAAACTATGCGTATTTGCTCCGGGCAAAGGAAATAACCCGATGTCCAATGGACCCTGCCGGCCACCAAACCGCATCAAAAACCCACTAAACCTAACTTTTCCCTCTCAGTCCAGTTACACCAGATTTTAGACCGTTTCTATTCAAACTTGAACTTTCTATGTGAATCTTGCGCAAGTCTCATTTTCCCGAAAGAAGTTTGTTGTAAAAACCATCAGGAATTTCTTAATGATCGAGAAAGTAATCTTATATATGAGAAAATAAAATTCAGAATTTTATTTAAGTATTACCAGTATTTTTTATTCATTATTACTAACAAGGATTAATTTCCAAGTCCCACAGGCAGATCTACGGGAGGTAGGCTTTCGGGCTTAAGCTCCACCACAAAAAAAAAAAAAAAAAAAAAATGAAAAAAATATAACCATGTCTTACGAAAAAAAATTATCGCTATAAGTATTATTGTTCGTGTAATTACATTTAACACGACTTTAAGAATCACTTAAACACCATTTTATAAGGGTAGAGAGTTTCTTTATTTTTGTTCCAAAGTAATTAGCGTTATATATATATATATATATATATATATATATATATATATATATATATATATATATATATATATATATATATATATGTGTATATATATATAAATAAATGCTTTAAAAAAAATAATTGCTCCTCCCCAAAAAAATAAATTAAATCCTGGATTCGCTAGTACCAAGTCCTAACTTTGTGTAGAGAACCAAATTATTATCAATATGAGATTTTATTAAAGTAATATGGGTAAATTACTGTTTTTTAAGTCAGCTGTTTGATAATAACTTTCTTCAGCTCTGTTACCTCCCCTTTCTCTCAGTATGAGTTAAAATGTCATGAAATGAATTGTTCCTTGTTTTCTGTCATAATGTTGTCTGCATTAACGAAATGTTGACGTGTTAAATTGCTTCTTACCTTCATTTTAAACATACAAGGCTGGTTGGATTTTTCCAATCATAACCTAACCCATTATAACAAACATTATATTCTAATCTTTGTTTCTAGCTGAGTTTTTTACTTTTGTACATCAGTAACGTTTTTTTTACCTTCAGATCTAAATCCGCACCTAGCATTAGGTTGACAATAAGTAGACGAACAGCTGTGAATTTTGTCCTTTGTTTCATTAGCATGTTCCGCATTCTTACAAAACAATACCATGGCATATGCGACTCGGATGTGTGCAATTGAGTTGGTTGGTTCTAAGTGGCATAATAAGAACAGTTCATGTGACTGTTCTTCTCAACAATACAAGTGTTCTTCTATTAGTAAAACATTTGTGAACATCCTTGCAACAAATATTTAATCAAAGGACATTAATCAAATTCGATCCAAAGAAAATGGAAGAGTTGTGCATAGATTCACTATATCTTTGTGGTTTGTAAAATCATCATTCATTTTATCCAGTTTTAATTTATTTTAAATCGGTTAAAATAAAATAAAGAAAATAATCAATTACTATAAATGAACATATAGCTCAAAAAGAGACAAAAAAAAATTAGTATATAGATTGTATTAGAAATTATTTTGTATCTTTTTGAACTCATTCATTTATGCCTTGGAGTGAAGAAGCCCTGGACCCACTAGAATTTGTTGAGATGTTATATTAAACAATTTATTTTGTATTTAATAATTTTTTAGTTATTGTTTAACACATTTTTATATTATTATTCTGATAAGGTTATTCAGATTTTTGTTATGTGATTTTTTTTCTTTCATTTCTTCTAATCAAGTGTTTAATATTATTAAAACCTTCGACTGCATTAATACAATCCGTCTTAATCTGTTTCCTTCAGAATTTATTAATGATGGATGTTGCATATATTATTTAGAAATTGTTTATTAAGAAATATTACAATCTGTCTCAATTAAGGACATTTATAACTTAATGACAAAAATACTTTTATACAATATTTACAAAATTCATTCATTAGGGGAAGCTCTAAGCCAAGCTTTCCATCCCACTCGAAGAAGGAAAACATGGACTCTAGGAGAACCCAGTGCCACATTATATTACTGGTAATAAGGACCATTGAGATTGAACAGGAGCGCTATAACCAGACATACATGACTTAAGTGGATAATCTGGCCATTGCCAGAACTCCAACATAAAGATATTAGTGAGGTATATATGGATGGCTAGGTGAGATCACTTATGGAAGAGTTTATTATGGAAAGATAGGTATCTGGATTGAGCTATATCGGAAACATATGGTACATTAAGATCGTTATGGATGATTTTATCTGTAGCATAGTAGGGAGCATTGACTATTTTACGAAGGATTTATGATTGTAAGTAATGGGATACGAGAGGAATTTGATGGTTTAGTAGAGCCCCAAAGCTCGATCCCGTAAAGTCCAAATTGGCCTTATCATAGTAATATGTATGAGTCTTTTGTAAATAGTTGGAAGTTCAGAGCGTTTGTCTAGTAAGTACTGCAGTAATCGAAAACGTCGGTCAGTTTATAGTCGTTTCAGTCTGGTATGAGAGTTCCAAATGAGTCGTTTGTCCAGGTGGTATCCTAGGTATCGGATTTGTTGAACAGGGATAAGTGGGTTATTGTTAAAGGATACTATAGGACATGGGGAAAAAAATAGAACATAAAATGCAATACTCAGTAACGTTGCTAAAACTGGTCCGAATTATATGATTTTTTAAAAAAGTTTTGTCAGAAATTTAATTAGCTTTTTAAAAAATCGTACCACTTCGTATTACTTTCATTTTTCAGAATGGGGAAACCTAATTAAACTCGGAATAAAAATTGGAAGAGTTAAATGCAAAGGTATATTGATTACCAATTATTTAAAAATTGTTTAGGGTCAGTAAAAGTGTCTTGGTCTTGTAACGATTAGGCGGTCTTGGACTTGCTCATGCACCGTGCAATACCAAGACCTAATTTGGGCAACACTACTTTCCTGTCACTGTGATTACAACACACAACTTCCTAACTAACTCGATATAGTTTTTTGTTTGTTAATGCTTCCTCTTCGTTCATTTTTTAACCCATTCATGAACTAATCATGTTTAGACTTTATCTATACAGGTTTACAGTATTGCTATAAAAGTTTACTGAAAATCCCTCGTTAGCCGTCGCTCCTGGGGGTAGCCACTTGCAGTACGACGAGGCTGGAGAACGGATGCAGTCTGTTAGGCCCAATTGTCGGCTGCTTCCTCCCGCCATGTCTGGTCCACAGGCCTTCCTGCCATCGCCGCGGCCTGCTGTATTTGTACTGATGTGATTGATTGGAGTAGCTCTTAGCTCTGGCGTCCTCCCAGGTCGTGTTCCTACAAGCGGATGCCTGTTGTTTTTATGGAAGGCCTTCATGGGTCGTTAATCATGTGTGCTTAACAAGTCTTGTGAGATCGAAGACTTCCCTGTCAAGTAGAAGGATGATTTATCAATATAACATGTCGGGTTAAATAAAAAGTTTAAAACAGCTCTAAATTAACCATATCTACCTTGAGGAAAAGATTTTAGTTTTTATAAATATAACAATCAAGGAATAAATAAATAATTAATTATTTTTAAAAAAGAACTTTTAAGTCTCCAAAAATGCTGAATTAGAATTATTTTAAGGAATTGAGAAAAATTCATATACTTTAAACACTTATCATCCTCCATTTTTTTTTTATAAAAAGGATTTTAGAGATATTATTGATTGTTATTTTAAAATTAAGAAGATAACAAATATTTAGGATTTCCAGCCTGTGTTTTATTTGATAATGCATGTCGACGTTTTGACCTAAGCATCTAGGCCATCATCAGGGCTATACAAAAAAAAATCAGAAATCTATATCATGGGTGGTTAGGTCCCTACAGAAATATATAAATAAGCCAAGATAAAAATATGAAAAATAAACATAAAATTAAAATTAAAATATCTTATTTATAATTTATATTTATATATTTCTATATATATCTTATATTTCTTTCATATTTTTAAAAAAAATTTAATCCTAGAGAGGACAAATATTTGGGTGGATATGTCAACAAGCCTAATAAACCATATACATAAACATAATTATTATATTGGGAATAAGGTTGCTTAGTAATTATTAAATAAACTACAAAATGATCATTGGTTCTGTATTTATTTGACGTTTCGATGCCGGTTCTTTGTAAGTTAACAATGGGACTCTCTTCAAAGTTTTCAAAAAGAGCCTCGATACCTCAGGCCAGGGACACACCGACAGTCTCAGAACCGTCCACCAGCACATATATTATGCTATTGGTTAATTAATTAGTTATTTTAGTCAGGTTATGCACTTTATACTTAGTTGTATAATTACAGATTTTTCGATGTATGGATATTTTAATAGGTAAAAAAGAACACGCAAAACTACATTTAAAACGGAGAAGTATCTGTAGATATAAAGGAAGTAATGAGCTGAATGTAGTCGATTAAATACGGAATATATATACTTATATGTATATGTTTATAAAAGTATATACACACTTATACTTATTTGTATATATACTTATTTGAAAAGTATGATCATAAATACTTACGTAAGATCTATGATTATCTATATTATATTATCTATGATTGACAACTATAACATGCCACAATGAACTGAATAATCCTTTCTATTTTTCTAAATCAACCAAAGAAGCCAGGATGGACTCGAACATAAGTGCATTTTAATAACATAAATAATATCGTTAACAACAAACCCAAATCGTTTGAGCATGGAATTAGAGCTTTAGAATACTTTCAAGACAGCAGAAATCAACAGATAAAATAGTTGGAGCAATAAAATACTTTCCACCCGTAATTCACATGGCATAAAATGAAGTTGCTCAACATTTAAAAATTTATCTACTTCAAGAATTTCAATTATTGCAATTTAAGTGTTCTATCAATTCGTTAAGGATGCCACAGGAATAGGTTGACTCAGTGGTTCTTTAATATTCAAGTTCTTTAAAATTCAAAATATAAAAACTTCATGACACTAATGGATTAATCAGGATATTATGTTAGTAAATAACACCAAAAACCTTTTTTTTTTATAAAGAAATAAAGCAAAAGCTATTAATGTATTATGACGTCCTTTAATATATTTTTGGAGTATATCATACATAACAGAAGATTAATGAACGAATATAAATGAATAAAAGTTTAGCTATACATATATATTTTAACTCACAACAATAAATAAAAAATGATAGTTTTCAATATTGTTTTATCCAAGGCATAAGATTGTTAACTTTTAACACATTAAGCGCTCTCATGCAGATTCATTTAGATAATAGTTTATTGCTTATTTTCACGATGGATGAAGATAAAAGATTCGTAGAAATCCTTCTTCTAATAGTATTTATTAGAATAAATACACTGATAAAATGACACTAATAATTATTATTAGAAGCTCAATAATTATTGTTTCTTAAGTTTCGAATTATTTCTTATCATTATGAAGATTTGCTAGAATAAAATATCCCTCGATCGGTTGAACAATGGCTTAAGTGCAGAATATACATAATTATAAAGGCAAAATATTTATAATTATAATAAAACAAATAACGTTATTTGTGTTTAAATTAGTGTACCTGTGTGAAATTCTTCTATATATTCAAATTGTGTATATCATGCTATTAAGTCTGTTGAATTAAACAAGTTTTTCTGACCATTTAACGTAATGAAACGTTTTTACGAAATATTACAGTTGTGTCATGGCTCCACCGATCAACGATACGTTCATAAAACAATATGGAAACACAAATACAATGAAACACTTTTTATTTTTATATCATTCCATTATTCCAAAAATGACTCGGAAGAAAAATCAAATAGGGGGTTGATGAGTGAAATTAAGTTTTTTTTATTTATTTGTTTTATATTTCATTACAATCACATATTTTGTATTACAGAAAACAAATATATAACGTGGATATAATATTTTCCATTTTCGGTCTTTCACAAACAGAACGATCCTAAGACGATAATAATGAACATCGATGAACAGAACGTTGAAACATCAGACTTACGCACCTTGATATTTTTTTGTAAAATCGCACTACTTGCATAGTTTTTCTTCCAACGTGGATTTAAATCCACAATTCAAAATGTAAATGATAAAGCTTATTCTATACATGAAACTTTTTTTTTAACTCGTTCATTAAGAAATTTTACAATCTGTCTCAGTTAAGGATACTTATAATAGTGACATAAGAAACTAATTCTAAACCGAAGTGGAAATGGTTTTTGCTTATGTTAAACAGTTATGTTTAAAGAAACACTTCGATTGAAAGATTTACATCGCTAGGTGAAAAAATCCACTTTTTATCATAACTGATAAATGAAGACCGATGGCAAAAAAGAAAAAGTTCAATGTCAAAATATTACTTGCGTTATTTGAATGAACATATGAGTGGCATCTACATCCCCATGTTAAATACTGACATATACAATTTTTTAAAAGTTGAGAAAAAGCTTATTTTCTGTAACAAAAATTAAATTTAAACAAATTCTAATGATTATTCTTTTATGAATCAACTTAAACCATAGAAATTCATCAGAACCATATGTTCTTACATAAAATCATCAGAAACGGTTTGGATTAAACCTATTAAACAAAAATAGACTTTTTCTTCACTATCTGAAAATGACAGATATCCTTCTTTGGTATGAAGCCACTCATATGATAATAACATTTCCAACAATAATATAAATAATTAATCAGAAACTTACTCTATATGAGAATAAATATTTAAGTATGCTTAAAAGTGGATGCTGCCGTGGAATTCTTGCCTCTCTAATATATTTTGACATAAACTATGTATAATTATATTTAGAAATTGATAAATGAATCTAACTAAATCAGATATTTACGTAATAGTTAAAAATAAGATGCCATTGCAAGAGGATCGGAAAATGGAACAAACCTTTGAAACGCTATGGCATCCTGAAATTATCATGATAAATAAAAAATCTCTGGTTGAGAGACCCAGTTCCTAGAGTTTCGAAAATGTCACTGATCCCGAGTAACTCGCATTGATGAGGCAACCGAATGAAAGTATTCAACAAAGTTCAAGGCGGCTCAACATTAGGAATTATTTAGTCAAGCGTAGGCCTCAGGTAGGGTAGGGTTCCTGCCCTTTAAACCGTTTCATAACATTTTTTTTTTTCAAAAGAATTTACTGCCTAACCATAAAAAGCCTTGGGGACGATAGCGATTTCGGGTATCGTAAAAAATTTAACAGCGTTGCGTTTCATAACGCAGGGAACTTGGTATGAATGTTTCATAGCTCTAGCTTAAAATCGAACTAAAAAAAATAATGAATCTTGGCCCTTTAAAAGCACGAACATACAATCAATAACTTCATAATAAATAAATCTTTATCAGTAACTTATAATCAATAACAGTCTCTTCACTTAAAATTATAAGTGTCCAAGAGACAGATTGTTGTAATACACAATAGATAAATAAAAAATTATAAGGATGAAAAATAGTCAAGTTATGCGTCATTAATGTTGTCAAATCAGTTTGCCGAAGTTTCGATCCAAGCATGTGTGCATCATCAGGGCTAAACATTTAAAAAAATAACAGCATATATACATGTGTGTGTATTTATTTATATATATACTTTTTTTTCCGGTTGGCGCTGAAGACCATGAAGATCTTTGACCGTGAGTGTGGTCTCCTAGACAACATCCCAATTCCCGATTTAAAGTACGGGGTAGGGTCATCAATCCTACGCCCGGTCGGTGTGAGCTACCTCCCGTAGATTGACGGGGTTCACGTACCCGGGGGGGAGGGAAGGAGAGGGGGAGGAGGGGGGGGGGAGAGGAATCTCGGGCAGCGGGCTTTCCTTGGTGGACGGTCACCCATCCAACTGCTAGCCACGCTGGGCGTTGCTTAACTTTGGTTACCTATTGCAAGCGCCTTAGCCCGCAACGCTACCCCAGCCCTATATATATATATATATATATATATATACATATATATATATATATATATATATATATATATATATATACATATATATATATATATATATATATATATATATATATATATATATATATATTTATAATTTTATTTAAGAATTATAATAGAACCTCCCATAATCAGGACAATAGTATTAGTACTCTTAGTATACAACCACGTATACAAGCTAAAATAAAAGAAAGTAAAAAGAAAAAATAACATTCCAATAGAAAAATGAAAAAACAAGAAATAAAAAAATGTTAAAAGTAAAACAATAGTAATCAAATAATAATTTAATATTTCTTATCAGATATGGAACTTTATCGACAAAACGAAAAATTAGTTGTTCATTCTCCTAATATTTATAGTGAAATTATCTTCAGTTTTTGTCGA